AAAGGTAAAAACTTTTCATTTTGCATGAAATCAATTTTAAGCTCATTCATGGCCAAATTGGAGTGAAAAGATCGGCCAATTATCCGAAAAATACCAGCAAAGCCCGGTGGCGGCGCCACGAAAAATTTCACAAACCACATTTGATGAGGCCCTTTCCGATTCCCGTTTCGCGTAATTTTTTCACTGTTGTGATCACCATTTTCTTCTCTACAGGTTGACCGAAGTGAAATACCTAATTGCAACGTGAGCCGGAGGAGCCGCCGCACCAGAGAGCCTCACCGTTGGTGAGTTTCGATTTTTTGGGCCAACCGAGCCCCTTTAACGTGCTTGCTCGCAGAAATCGATACAAAATCGACTGAAAACGGTCGACTCGAGGCGGACCGCTGCTGCCCGCGGCAGCGCCGTCACCAGAGCACGGCAGAGCTGCCATGTCGGATTTTCGAAATTAGTTGAGTGGGTCCTAGGACTGATTTTGAGTTTATTTGGAACATTTGTCGATACTATAAGTACGTTTTAGTTTTCAGAGAAAAATTCAGGAAATTCAAGAACCGCCCGTAGGCGCAGTAAACTGTTTAGCTCTTCGGCATTAAATTGAGTAAGGATCCTTCACCATATTCCCTATCATATAATTGAAGTTTAAATAAATAATAATACGTTATTTTGTACAAATTAAATAGATATTCATAATTAATTACGGATTGCTAATGGAGCCCAAATCAGATATTGTTCTCTGTTGATTTATTTTATAGTTTAAAAATATGATAATATCTTATTTATCTATTTTATAGTTTAAACGCATGTATTGCTGTTTTACTTGATTACTGTTTGATTTGGGATTTGAGATATGATTGCATTACCTTATGTATGTTTATTTGTTTATGTGATTATATTTGATTTGGTAATGGAGACTAAAGAAAAACAGAAAAGTGGTGTGATTAAATAAACAGATGGAATGACAACCTTACTAGATATCTTGGGAGATGATGGACAAACTGGGTACATAAGGAACCCTACCGTGAACGTTGTCTCATACGGACGGGGTATGTAGACTTGGTAATTTGGTGCTCATATCAGACGAGGTATGGAGACGACCCGCTTCACCCTCATACTAGACGGGATATTGAGATTTAATGTCTTGACGCTCATACCGGACGGAATATGGGGACTGCCCTGTAATTGAGATTGTTAAGGAAAATGGTTCATGTGTAATGAGGACATTCTTATGAACCCCATTGGATACTAGTAGGCTGGTGAAAAGAGAAACAGTTATAATTTGGTATATTGTTAATGGATATGAATTTATGATATGTTCTATGTTACTGATTGTTCATGAAGTTATGATCTGTATGCTATTATTGTCTTTATAGGTTATTTTCATAAATTCTACTATGGTAAGTGAACGGTAAATGATTTTATAATTGATAAATTAATTTGCTAAATTTAATGTTTCATTAGTTGTTTTGATTTTATACCAACATTTGCTTCTGTGCCGGTGATATAGTGTAATATCCTTATTTGGGTAGTATAAGTTATCCTTTATTTAACTATTTCAGATCAAAAGGATATGATTCTATATTCTAATCCGCAAGAAGATTGCGAGTAGATGTTAGATATTTTCTATTTTTCATTTATTTTCTTATTTTTTGTGTTTCTTTTAAGGCATTAATTTCGTAATGTTATTTAGTACTTTTAAGTTATTATGTAAGGAATGTAAATTTTAACCTTTTATTTCGCTTATACACTTAAATTATTATATATTTTTCTTTTTAAATTTTCGAGGACGTTACATTTCATAAGTAAATTTGTGAAGTGTCATCATATTGCCAAATTATGTTAAAATTCATAATATTCATTCAACACAACTAATGTTTATGTTTTGAAATGGTAAAAGTGGTTTGAAAATAATTTTTAGTGGCAAGCAAAATCATATATGACAAAAGTTCATGATTATTTTGTAAAATTCTTGTAAGAAAATATGATAAAAGTTATATAAATTATTTTTCTTTACTTATTTTATTTTTTATAGAGTTTAAATATTATTAAAATTAAATATTAAATTTTATAAACTTAGCAATAAAAATTAACTTACTTTGTTTAAATCATGTAAATGGCGGTAACAAATATTAGATTTACGTTGTGGTGGCGTGATCATAAATTTATTTATTTTAACAGATAAATTAATTAAATATTAATTTTAGAAAATAAAAAATAAAAAACATAATTACAATAATTAAAAAATAAAGGAGCAAACTGCAAAATAGAGAAGGTTATGAACCATTTTTACCATTAGCCCAGTAAATAAATGGCAACTATTTCTAGCTCAGAACTGTTGATATTGAAAGCATATATACATATATACATACTTATGTATCTAGACTACTAAATATTAGGCTCACAGTCACTTTCTTTTCACGCGATCTTCGATGGCTGCGGCGAGATTACCAACGCGATCTTCTGCAATGGCAGCTTCATTGCTGATGCTAATAGTTGTGGCTTCTCTGTGTTGGGCATCGTTTGCATCATCACCAGAAACAAAGTTTGTTCTGAAGACGATCGCTTCTCACAAGATTGTCATCTTCTCCAAATCCTATTGCCCGTACAAATCTCTCTTTCCATCTCGATCGATATTTCATTGAGAATATTTTACTTAATTGGTAGCTAACCATGATAAATTCCTTTATGTGACCCTCTTAGTTCCGAAATAGTTGATCTAATTGACTGGTTTTTAACTTCGTATTGGATTTTACAGCTGCTGGATTTTAGGACATCCCGTTCTGTTTTCAATTTGGGGTTTCTCGTATTAGGTTTCCTCTTTGAAACTGGCATTCCTAATTTACGTCATTTCCGTTTTGTTCAATTCAATATCTGTTCCTTCATCACTCGATTATCAGTAAATTTACGAAATTTACCTACAGTGCTATTAATTGGATGGTTAAGGAGTAGGAATTGAATTGAATCAAACGGTCATTAATCTTGAGTTGTCCGTATAACTGGCATTTTTAGGCGTGTACCTTTTCCGATCCAGTTAGTGGAAGGCCTAGTGGTTCTTCTTGCCAAAGCCAGTATTCTTCTTCTACCAACATTAAAAAAAAAAAAAAATCCTTCTCTTTTTCAATTTCAGTGTTATGATTTTGAATGAATTCAGATGTGAAAACGAGCAAGATGGCTCCGGCTTTGTTTTTCATTTCGGCATGCATGTCTAGGAAGAGCTGTCTTTATGGGATAAGCTCACATGATTCTTTTTGGAATTTGAATGGTTGAATATCTCCATTCAGAAGGTTCTTCACGTGTTGGTATTTAGATCTTACAAAACATTTTTATGAAGAAACCATGAATTCCACTTGCAGCTTATCCAGTCTCTTTCTAGGAGCTGCCTTTTTTACTTTGCAGGAAATGGTGTCCGTTTTGCATGTTTTCTTATCTAGAGATCTGTTGATGTCCTGAAGGCTGAAGGGTTCTGGGTTTTGGGTTGTGTCTTATATGTATAATCTTTCCCCGCAAATTTCCTTTTTAATCTCTCTGAAAATTTTCAAGGAATCACATATGCAACTGACAGATATTTGCATGGGCATTTTTTCTGTTTCATTTGCAACGTCATAGAATTTAGCTTAGTTACTTGAAACATGTTCCAAATAAGAGATCTTACATAAAGCTCTAGGTGCTTTCTGTGATTATATGCTGCTTCTCCAGTAGTTTTGTTAACTTTGTCGAAAGGGTGAGGAGAATGTCCATGTCCATTGATGATGAGATCTATAATTTTATGAACATTTATTAACTCTGCAAATCATTCATTTCTCTTTTTTTTTTTTTGAATTCATAACTTTTTCTAGGAAAGAAATGAGGATAAGAGAAACTGCTTTCTATGGGCATGGAGAATCACAAAATATATTAATCTTTGTTCTGTTTTTATTTGTGGCAGCCAACATCTGATGTGAAGAATTATTTGTGCTTCATTTTTTGCTACCTCTAATAGATGGAATTATGGACTTATCATTTCATTCTTCTTATTATTTTTCTACAGGTATTGTAGGAAAGCAAAATCTGTTTTCAAGGAGTTGGACCAGGTTCCCCGTGTTATTGAGCTTGATCAGAGAGGTCTGTCTTTATTTACAAATACATGTTGATGCTTTCTAACTGTGGGAAAAGGGGTTGCTATAAACTGAAAGAGTTACTTCTACTGAGATTAGATGAAAATAGCTTGGTATTGGTTAAAAGCCAAACAATAAAGAAGCTACTTATTACCATGCTGGTGGACTGATTTTCTAGTTTGACAGCTGAATTCTATGGTTTTAACTTCTCATTTTTCATGGTTAATGCTTCGGTTTTTGGCACCTAATACCAACTGAACTATGTTGTTTCTCACTGTGATAGTTGCTCGGTTGGCTTACATTTCTTACTAAGAAATGAATTGTACTTCTGACTTTCGGGGTGGCTTGGAGCATCATGCTTCCTTGATGATTTCCGAATATCTCATAACAATATAGTAACTTTTTATATTAGTTATCTTTGCATAGTTATTTGATTATTAATTAATATGAAGTGATTATTACAAGAAGTTACTGAATTTCTATGATCTTTTAAATACTACCGAGAGTCATTATGCCTTTGAGAACCATGCCTTTGGATATGCATTGGAAATGTATTGAGGCAATTGATTCTGTGTCTTACAGAGGACGGTGGGAACATTCAGACTGCCTTGAGTGAGATTGTGGGAAGGCGTACTGTACCACAGGTGTTCATAAACGGAAAGCATATCGGTGGCTCAGATGGTAAATTCTTATTTCTCTAATAAGGATTTTAAATGGATATTCTGTATTGTAAAGAAAAGAAAGATTAAGATCACTTGAGTTTACATTGATATGTTTGTTTCAGATACTGTTGAAGCATTCGAGAGCGGAGAATTGGTTAAGCTTCTGGGCATTACCGGTGAAGATAAGAATGATCTATGAATCAAGAACAAACCTCTGTTTACTTGAATTATTAAACAGGGCCCAAAACCAATTATTTGGATTTTGTCATCACTACTTTTTTCATTATATTCATTGAACATATATATATTTGGTTCAGTAGACATAAAGATTGAGTCTTAGTTTTCGTACTTAATTGTCATTTTCAATATTATGTTCTTTATTGTTAACTAAACATTTTAACACCTCATCTAAGCAATTAGCCAGATTGATAAGCAGTGAAGTTATTAATTCGTCTCCTTTATCTGGGTTAATTACTTGTCTGTTCTTCCTAAGCTTTCTGTTAAAACCCAATCAGGCTGTTGGTTAAATCATAGATAACCTCAAGTAGCAAAAAGAGGAAAGGAAAACTGTGATTAAACTAATAAAACTCTAATTTATACTTCATAAATAATTGATATAACTTACACCTTATTCTTCTCCTGAAAAGAAAAGAAGAAACTTACACCTCTATGGCACCTAGCATATGTACTTTCAATACAAGTAAGAAGGAATACAGCGACACTCCAGTATGCCTCTATTAACTGGTGTATTATTCACATCTGTATTCGAGTGAACTCATGATGAAAAATTGGCGGGCAAGGCGACAACCTCTTGAATCTGAGCTTCGTCATAATGCCTTATTTTCATATGAACAAGTTAGTTTATTTCTAAGCATTAGCTCCATGAAATAGAATGGTCACATTGAAACGGAGACAAACATTGAGAAACTCTGCCTTCAGGTAACATATGCATTAAGTAATTGTCTGTGTCATTTTTTTAAAAAAAAAAACTCTGTTAAGCTTTTTCTTACCTGAATAGCCTGCTGCAAAGCACAATAAGATTCTTGAGCTTGTTTTCTCTTTGCCGCAAACTCATCATTCTCCTGTAATAGATTTTTGGAGATGTTCTCTCTGCACGTGTCAATGAAAGATTTTATCAGAAAAAGCTTTTTAATTTTTAAGCCTAAAAAAGATATTTTTAAGTACAAAACATGCATATTTTAAATACCAGAGTATGATTATGCAAGAAGAAATTAACAGGAGAATGTAAAACCTGAATAGATTCTGCATTAAAGTCATATGGATATTTCTTTTTGCGTATCGATTGATCAAATGGAACAAAAATTTCAGTAGCTTCAAAAAAATTAAGAGATATCTTGCTACAAAAGAATATAAAACAGAAGGTTACCAGAATGTGCATTATAGCGTTCGGAACCATGTGTTGAATATGTGACTTAGCAATGTCATAATAGGACCTTAGCAATATTTTGATTACTAATATTTCTAGTTTATCTTGGTATGTCCTTCTGGTGATAAAACCGATGGGACCTGAAGAGTAGAAGAAAAGTAGTACTTCAGTACTGACTTCTGGAAGACTGATTAATAGGGAAAGTTTATAAGGTGATTTTGAGAATATTTTTTATATTTAGCAGTCTTGGTATTTTTTCCATCTTGGCTTTGATATACTAGAACTAAATCTTTTGAGGTTCAATCAAGAGCAGATATCGATGATGAGACTAAAGAATATACCTTCGCGAGTTGGATTATGGATGATATTCCCTGTGGTTCGGATGATATTTTAGCTGCAGTATTATAATCTGGTGATAGACTGCGCCCCAGTATTGGTGAAATATTACCCCGAGCTCTTGTGGATGGATAGTCTGCGCATCACAAGTTCAAAATACTTTTGCTTATTCATACAATCTAGACTCAGATTTAAATTGTTTTCCTTTTCAATTAAAACAGAAACAAATTACAAAACATAGCAAGACTTTACCAGATTGAACAGGCCTGTCACTGTTTGGTTGAGGACTACTTCCCTGCCAATGGCCATTCATAAGGTAAATGAGGATGATATGAATAGAAGTTCCAGTTACCACCAAAACAAAAAAGATTAGTAAGTTCATCTGAGATATGATGCCTCCAATAGTTTAGATTAAAATAGAAAATATCCTGACAATTGAAAACATAAAAAAAATTAATCAACTAATGCATCTTAACCATACATCATCTGGAGACATTATGCCTTGGAAGTATGTTAGATTTACCCTATGCGTGCCTATATGAAAACAAAGGAAAGCAAGTACCATTTTAGGTGGAGCACCAGCTGATCTCTCGAGCATTATGTGAGGCTTCTTGCCTATCTTTAATGCATCTAAACCATCCTGAATATTCGTATCCGTCTTTAGAATGGGACCATGGAAAGAGGCATATACTATGTTTGAAACAAATAAATCCTACAAAAGCTGTGATATTTATTTGCAAGTTCACATTTTTTTTCCACTCTAGATGTAAAAATGTAGATTTTAAATGAATTCTATTCTTTGTGGAATCAATTTTTTCCAAACACTGTCAAAATCTACCAAGAAAGTTAATATTTAAATTGTCCTGAATTCAGATGCACGTCCAATTTATTTGGAAAAAAAAAACCTACAAGCTTGTTCACTGCAAACATACATACGTGGGCAGATACCTCTTGTAATTGAAGCTGCTGCTCAGCAAGCTCAACAGCTTTATTCCTGTCAATAAACTTGGAGTTGTAAGAATGTATATGTCCCAACTGAATGGTTACAATGGTTCACTAATCAGCAAACAGCCAGAAAGGTGAAAGAAAACAAAATCACTTAAATAGTGTTCAAGCACTGACTCTGAGCATTTCCATACGTTAGTTCTAAGATTGCTTTGATTATTTAATATAAAGAATTCAGATGTAATTTTATATAGTTGGTACATAATTTTATCAACTATATTCATATCTTTAATTTCACAATAATAGATTGGTATTCTCATTGGTCAAAGAAAAAATCACAATAACATCCAAGTTAAATTAGGTATGGAATTACTTTGAATCAAGACATTTGTATTATATGCTCTTTCATACTCAATATAATTTAAATCTGACCCAAATTCAACCAAAAATAACAGACAAGGACTAGTTGCATGGTGCTCTACTTTTCTTAAAACTTTCTAGATTGAAAACAAAAAACTAGATATCTTACTAAAAATTAACAACAAAAAAAAGCTTACTGCCAACTTTACCATGAGCTAACAGAATTAAGTACATATAATTCAAACAAATGAATTTAAGGATGAAATCACCTCCGTTTCAATGCTCTCTAAGATGAATTCTTCAGCATATTTTACTCTGTTATACAAAAACCTTGTCATGACTTCATTTACTCGCCTTCTGAGGACTGGAAACATTTGCAATTGAGTCAACTCACAATCATGGGTCACCTGCAGGAGGAGGTTACCTTCCTGGTTATGATATTCATATCAATAATAATGATGTTAAAGATCATAAGAACCATACGCAACAGTTTCTTCACCTCTATCAGTTCATCATAGACAAAATGTAAACACTGCAGGGAAGGATCTGATAACCGAGCAATTTATTTTCTTGCCAAAACTTCAAACAGAACCTGCACATCAAGTAAAGTTGATGCAAGTGACAAAATAAAAGTTATGATAATTCATATGCAGTAAAGAGAAAGCATCTTATGTAGCCATTATTTTCCTCACCGTGAATAACAATGAAGCTGGTTTTATTCCAGTGACATTTCGGATGGTCTTCTGAATATTCTCATCAGCTAGATTTTCACAAGGGTCCAGTTCCTATAACCAAGGAGACCATTTTAGACCCTGTTCTCTTGTGTAAAACTTCGCTGAATGGACGTATAGAGTTTAAAAGAATAACTGCTTGAAGTATATTTTCCTATCACTCCTCAAGCTTTTTTTTTTTTTTTTTTTGTTTTCAACGATTATATATGTATTTATGTACAAACATATACGAACTATAAAAAGAAAACTCAAAATTTTTTTTCCGTATCTAAATAGGGCCTAATATCTCTCTTATTCAAAGTAGACAAATTTTTTTATCAGTTACCAATACAAATCTCAAAACAACAAAGAAGAGGAACAGAAGCAGAGGTGACAAATCACCTCTAAAGTCGTCCCAAAAATTGATTCAAAAACATAGTGGATCCTGCTATCATATAACTGTCTAGTTGACATGTTCTGGTTGCTCCCATCAATCATGGCACAAAAATCTGTCAAATGGGAAAGGAACTAAACTAGCAATAAATATTACCAAGAAAGAGTTATTCAAGATTTATATGGACAGCTCAGGATTTTCACAATGGTAAAACAATATTTTTTAATTACTGGAATTTTGAAATCTTATACACAAATCTGCAAAATGACACCTCTCTATAAACAAAAATCTCACCTTGACAATATCTGTCTAAGATGTTCAATAACACCTCTCTTTGTTCCTCCTAGAAAAAGACAATTGAGAAGTCAACTTAGCTTTCTGATTCATAAAATAAAACGTCTCATACAATTAATATTTCTGCATCAGAAATATGAATCAGAAAATGTTCTAATCATATTCCTGACAACAGTGTATGGACCAGAAACCTCTGACAATTCATAAAACAAAACTTACTTTAGAATCTATGACTTTTCTGTAAGCTTGCAGCTCTCCAGCAAGTGTGACCATATGATAATTCAATTTAGCCTTCAAACCTGGATGAACATTTCTTATATGGAGCTCAAGGATCTTGAACAGAAAATTGGCAACCAAACATGCATAAGACAGAGTAAGAAGGATAGAAATTAACCAAAAATAGACATAACCAATTGACCATTAACTTTTCAATAATCATTCTACCCTCTCCTGCATTTCATAAGTTTAACAATGTGATGAAAATATTTTAGTATTTCAGAACCTTTTTCTAATTCCATCTCAAAAAGCCATGGTTGCTGCCATTTAAGAAATAGAACTAATACTTTTAAAAGATGGAAAGAAAAGAGAAAGATAGGAAATGTTTAGGATTTAGAAAGAATATAAAGCACCAAAAATCTAACTTCTGCTATCTAAGCTCATTAAGATCTAGCTACACGGAACAAGTCTTAACTAGTTCTTAATTCCTAATTCATTGGCCCATTTGGGAAAAGTATTTTTGTGTCAATTCTCATTGGACAAGAAATAGAAAAGCATCATAAACTATACCCACAGAACTTACTACAGTACTAGCAAGAAAGCAAAAGGTCATGGATGGACCTGATTCAACTTCTTCGCTAATTGGGGAATGCCACAATGATTAGCGAGCTTGCTATACACCTTCATCATGCCATAGAAAAAGAATGAGATGCTCAGTTCAAATTAAGATATATGAATTTGCAAGACCATTAGTTAGAGAAGCTGAGAAGTACCGGATGTTCAATAAAAAAGCTCTCTTCAGTGGCAAATGCCTCTTGAATATTCCAGTTTTTACTAACATCCTGCATCAAAGATGAAGATAGATGTAAAGAGAACGTGCAAAATTTGTTGAAGCGTAAAAGATATCCATTGGACGTCCCGGTAGAGTTCCAGAAATTTCCAGTAATAAGAATGGAAAAATTACCCTCCCCTT